TCTACTCTCTAGTTTCTACTCTCTAGTCTCTAGTCTCTACTCTCTAGTTTCTACTCTCTAGTCTCTAGTCTCTACTCTCTAGTCTCTACTCTCTAATCTCTAGTTTCTACTCTCTAGTCTCTACTCTCTAGCTTCTACTCTCTAGTCTCTACTCTCTAGTCTCTAATCTCTACTCTCTAGTTTCTACTCTCTAGTCTCTACTCTCTAGTTTCTACTCTCTAGTTTCTACTCTCTGGTTTCTACTCTCTAGTTTCTACTCTCTAGTCTCTACTCTCTAGTCCAGGGGTGGGGAACCTCTGGCCCCCGGGCCGTATACGGCCCGNAGAATAAAGTAAATAGGTATACAATACTAATATGACAGTAAAAAAAAGTTGTTATTAATAAACAAGAATACAGTTTAAAAGGGAAGTGATTTGTATTTTACAAATCACTTCCCTTTTAAACTGTATTCTTGTTTATTAATAACAACTTTTTTTTACTGTCATATTAGTATTGTATACCTATTTACTTTATTCTCTTATTTTTCTATAACTATAATGATCATATAAAGATGTGCCTTTACCTCACTGGTTGGAGAAAAAGCTTCTTATATTCGTTAGCATAGCTAGCTAACCAGATGCTAATAACAACAACGTTATTGACTGTATGATCAGTATGACAGATTGCCACTGGGCTTTCAACTAAAGACACAGCCACGCAAAAACTGCGGCATGTGTACAGCTCCTTATGGGTATTGCAATTTGTGAAGTCCCGGCCCGGAGCCGCGTTCTGGTGCTCTCCGTTGGAACTACACTCCTGTCAGACGAGGCATATACCACGTGATGACACGTTCGGCTCGTGTTGTGTTCAAGGACCCTGACCTTGGCCAGGAAAAACAAGCTTGTTTAATTATTTTGCGGTCTAGATTTCTTGAATTTTTTTCTTTTTTGCGTTTGTTTATAAATTACCTTGAGGGGCGTACCAAATGGTCTCACGGGCCGTATACGGCCCGGAGGCCGGAGGTTCCCCACCCCTGTCCTAGACTGATGTCAACTGTCATCATAGACCGTCCGAGCGGCGCATTCCAGGCTCAAATCAAGCGCACCGCTGATTTTTTTTTCCTCCTTCAAAATATGCTGGTGTTGAAGCCGTGTCAGAAAAGAGGCAGACTGCTAAACCGCAAAACTTAGTCAGAGAGGGCATCAAGGCCACTGTGGCCTTATGGCAGATATCATTTTTAGGGGCACAAGGCCAAAGTGGGAGGGCCATGGCCCTCGTGGCCCTCGTGAAATTCCTGCCCTGGCTGCGACTTTCACCAGGATGCTCTGCTCCTCCTCCAAACGTCTGACCAGCATTACCTGGTCAAAGACAGACCTCTTCAACCTGAAGGTGTTGCCTTTCGGTTGAGGAAAGGAATGGAGTGGTGGACAAGGAATATTTATTCATATATTATATTATTACAGAATGATTTTAATTTCTGTAGACACAAATCTTTGGGGTGTTCCAGAAAAGGTATAATGTAGACAAGTTAATGGACATGTTCAATCCAAACTTGGTTGCGTTTTGTTATATTGCAACCGGTTACCAACCTTTTGACCTTGACGAGGTGACACGTGACTACATAGAGAAGAGGTTAACCAAAAAAACGTTGCAATAAATCTTTCTCCAAGAATGCGGGGTCGCCACCATGACCGTCTCCTGACCCTCCCACCTATTACTCTTGTAAGTGGCAGTGAGAAAACGCGTCCTTCGTTCTAGACATAAGCAGTCGTACCCAAACAACAGTTTGCATCAATAATAACTTTAACGGAAAAGTTTGGTTGGTTTTTGTAAGACCGTGGTACTGTGTCAAAACACAAGAGGCAAAGTGAAACGTCTGTCGTTGGTCCGGTTCCGGTTCCTTTCTCCTTCTCTTTACTCTCTCGACTTCTTCTTCGAAGCGCTTTTTCAACACGTTATGTTGTGTGGCCTCACGTTCCTTCTTTGTCTAACTGCTTCAACCCAACCGACGTCAGACTGTTTGAATGTAGAAATGGTACCCTCTCGTTACGTTTTGCCATCCTAATTAACGATCAAACCGAACAACAAAAAAATCAGATAATGGTTTTATACTTTTTTCTTGGTTACGANNTCTTTCATGCCGACATAATCATGTTTTACTCAAATACAAATGTTCTTAAGTGGCTCTTACAATGAATTGTACCTGAGCCGTATCTTAAGGGGGTCCCAGAGGGTCCCGGGGGCCCTGGGGGTCCAGCAGGGCCCACCGGTCCTGGTCTGCCATAGCCGGGGAACCCCGGTGAACCCGGCACCCCGGGGGGGCCCTGGGGTCCGATCACAGACTCTCCTTTGGGGCCCTGAAATGCGTCAGGGAAAGTGAGTCTTGGAAAACTCAATTATGAAAATATTGGCAATTCAATTAATTTAACAAAACTCACCACAGGTCCGGTTCTCCCGGGGGTGCCTGGTGTTCCGGAGAACCCTCCCTCCCCCCTGTTGCCCTTCTCTCCCTTAAGGCCCTGGTCACCACTTGACCCCTGTCATAACACACACAGGTGAAACACATGAGCTGATACATCTGATGGGCACATGAGGCAAGCTCGTCTCCAATCTAAATCAAATCAATAAACACATCCATATGAGACTTACCCAGCCTCCCCTTGAAACAAATGAGCCTGGAAACAAAGAGCAGGAAGTTAAAGCTAATAATAACAACATAGTAATAATTCATATAATGCAAAATCAGTTTTACAGGAAGTTGGAAACATTGGGGAAGTAAAGAGAAAATAAAAAGTCAGGCCTTGAAATCCAATCATTAAAACACACATCATAGATTTGTATTTCTGTAGTTTTTATAGTGGATTTTTCTTTCTGGTTGGTGTTATCTAAAGACATTTCCAGCTGTTCGATATTCACTTACTTTGTGGTGCCGGCAGCCCAGGAAGACCTCTCTCTCCCCTTTCCCCTTTATATCCCGTCTGACAGTTACCTGTGAGACAACAAGAGCACAACTTAAAGTATTATTTTTAAACTTTGTTGATTCAGAGATTAATTGAAGTAAAAAAAAACGATATATATATTTATATTGCAGGTTTGCGTCCTGAGACTGAAATTAGTATTTTGGTAATCTTGATATAAATCATAGACTTTATTATTTATGGGAAACATAAGAGATGACACCACCTACCTACTGCAACAGTTCCATCAGGGTTACGCTGAAATATTTGAGCAGAAACACATTAACAACAGTCAATGAATTCAGAAATCTTGGATAATTACCAGTATAATTCGAGAGAGGCAAATGTGAAAAAAATAATAATTGGCAATCCATTTTTAATGTTTGGTCTAAATGATATTGTCCCTTTTTTTTAGGTTTACATTTCTCCATGCTTTCTTACACAATGTACATACAGTATACCTGCACTTGAGCCTCTTGTCTCCAACATTGGTATTTCAAGAAGAAATAACAACGGACAACGGCTTTTTTTGCACCTGGTAAAACTGTTTTCTTACATTTTCGCAGATTAAACAATAATAGTAGTGAATTCAGAAAATTATCCTGGTTTAAAAAAAAAAACTCATCACCAGATTTTGTTTTCTCACTTGCCTCTCAGGTTATCTGTACAACATCACTTTGCAAAACAGTTCTACATTGCATTATCAAATAATAAAATCACTTCTTTTCTATTGTTAATATTATAATCAACATGCAAATGACCAATGCTCATTTTCTCTAGAAGTGATTCAAATACTACCTTCTCTATGTATTTGCAATGAGCCTTCACTTTCCCAGAGTGGACATGCATCATGCAGGAAAGATTCAGAGCCATCATGGCACCGCTCTGAGTGATAAAAGGTGAGG